CTACGCCTGGGGTAGGGGGAAACAACTGCCCTGTTCCAAACTGGGGGATTATTGACTCAGTAATACTCCAAGTGAAGTGGAACTTGGAATTGTTGTGCATCACAAGCTGAATATGAGCCAGCAGTGTGATGTGGCTGCAAAAAAGACCAATGCGATTTTAGGATGCATTAACAGGAGTCTAGTCTTCAAATCCCGTGAGATACTAATCACCCTCTATTCAGTCCTGGCTAGGCCTCATCTTGAGTCCTCCGTCCAACTCTGGACACCACATTTTGAGAAGGAGGTCAACGAACTGGAGCAATTTAAGAGGAGGGCAACAAGGATGATGATCAGGGGACTGGAAACCCAGCCCTTGGAGAAAAGACTGAAAGAACGGAGCATGTTTAGGAATGTTGAGGAAAGAAGACAGAGGGGAGAGAGGATAGACTTGAAAGGCTGTCCTACAGAGGAGAGGCAGGATCTGTTCTCCATCTTCCCAGAGCGCAGGACACGTCATAATGGGGTCAAGTTACAGGAAGCCAGATTTAGGCTGACTATCAGGAAAAACTTCTTAACTGTTAGAGCAGTGGGACAACAGAAGCCATGACCTCAGGGGGAGGTGGAGAGCGCTCCCAACACTGGAGCCTTCAAGAAAAAAAGACCTCAGGGGGAGGTGGTGAGCGCTCCCAGCACTGGAGGCTTTCAAGAAAAAAACGGACCACCTTCTGGCAGATCTGCTTTGACTTGGATTCCTGCCTAGCGGCCAGTTCTTGTAATGACTTTGTGGAAATACATTTCTCCAGCAAAGGCTCCCTTCTATTGGCCACTTCTGGTAACGTCACGGTTAGAAATATAAATTTCTGGGGATTTTTCTTTTAAAAGTTTGAATATTTTGGGGTAACGTCACGGTTAGAAATATAAATTTCTGGAGATTTTTCTTTTAATAGTTTGAATATTTTGGGGTTGTGGATAAGTGAATCAGCGGATACGGATCCTGCAGACATGGGAAGGGAGTGTCGTCCTGTACTTTAAAAACGGATAAGTGAATCAGCGGATACGGATCCCGCAAATACGGGTGTGTGTGTCTTCCTGTACTTTAAAAATAGTTGAGCAAAAAACAGTGATAGGGTGATTAACTCTGTCCCCAAATCTCTACAGACAGAGCAAAAACCACAACTCGTGAGCTTTCAGCAACCTCCCCAGGTTGCCATACAAGATTTTGCACCAGAAACATTCTGAAGGAGCTTTCAAGGAATGCTAAGGGCAAACTGTCAAGTTGCCCTCTTCAAAAAAGCCCTTCTGCATTTTCAAATGATTAGTAGCTCTCCCAAGAAATGTGCTATTCCACTTGGAAGGCCACGCAGGAGACGATCCTACAGAGAATATGCCACAATCAGGGCCCGGCATGCGTGAGGTGAGGCAGAGCATCAGCTTATGCGCACATCACCTGACACCTATGCGCCTGCGTTGCCGCAGTGTCCCCCAGTGTCATCAGCTCTCGATCACCAGGGACAGCTCCAGCTTTTTGATTTAGTTCACCCCAGGAAAACGTCATTTCCCCCAAATTGTTGTTGCTGTTTAGTCGTGGCCGACTCTTCGTGACCCCACGGACCAGAGCACGCCAGGCCCTCCTGTCTTCCCCTGCCTCCCGGAGTTTGGTCAAAGTCATGTTGGAGTTCCCCCAAATAGGGAGGGCCATTTTCTCTTTGCGATAGAGGATGGATCCTTGCAAAATGGAAACCTCTGGGCATGCTCGAGGTTGGTGTTGTCTCAATGATGCATACTTTGGTGGAACAAAGGAAGCTGGTGGGGAACGGTTTTTACACGCATGCAGGACAGCCCCCACTTAGCCTCGGATGGAGTAGTTGATAGAACAGAAGTCCGTCCTGGGAACGGCTGGTCTCATCAAGCACCACCAGCTCAAGAGGCTGAGGGCACCGAATTAGCTCCAGGTACCTGAGTTCTTGTTTCAAGACCCGCCGCCTGCCCCCGGAGTCTTACCCCTGCCCCATCGTTGTACTCCCAAGAAACCTGCAGCTAAACCCCATCTGACAGCCCTTGTGAGGGACGCTGTGTTTGTAGAAGGTCTTGGTTAATTCCTGGATTGTTTTGGCTGCTTCTGGCCTCCCGCTAAGTTGATAAGATAACCAAGAACTTAACGGGAGTTGTTGCTTCAGCTTCGGAGGGGCTTAACTCAAACAATTCTGCTGGGTAATAAGCCTGACTTTGTTTCTGCCGCCCCACACACTCTGCCCCCCCTCCCTCTCCCTTTCTCTCTGGCGTAAGGGGGATTTCGGCTACAACAGGAAATGAGCCCTTTCAGCCACCCAGCCTGCTGGCGGGATCCTGATCTAAAGACCATATGGAAGAGGGCAGCGTTGAGGGGATGCTGGGGAGTTATGGCGAGGGTGCGTCGATTTGATTGATTGGCCTCCAAGAGGAAGCCGACACCTCAACCTACCCTATGTGCCTTACTCCTCTTGGCCTCGAGGAGTTCAAAGCCCACGCGGTGTCTCCTGGGAGGCAAAAATTTTTAAAAATCGTCCGTCCCCTCCACCACGCCAGCTCAGAAGGTTGGCGCCAATTTGATGTCAACCCGCGAATGACGGCCTTGTTTTTACTTTGGCTAATATCACATGTCAGCTTCCCCTTTCACCCTTCTTACGATGCAGATTGGCTGTATTCCGTAGGAGAAGAGTGCAGACTCAGCGAAAACAATTCCGTCCACCTGGCTTCCAAAGGAATGACATAGTCAGTGCGCTACAACATGATTCTCTGCCAGGGTGCGGAAACTGCCCTCTTCAAAACCTCCCTCCTTCCCTTTCTTCTCTTAAAAATAAGTTTCTAGCCCTGGACGTGACGAAGACACACTCTAGTCCTGAAAATGAGTAGCGGTCGCAGAATGTCTCTCGTGTTCTTTCCCTTTGGAAAGGAAAGCATAACCCAGTTTGCAAAGAAATATACACACAACCCATCCAGTGCTTCAGCCTCTTGCGAAACCTATCTTAACCTGGGCTTAAGTTCTAGGAGGAACTTTCCTGGCTGAATCCGTCTTGCCATGTATGTTTAGACTTCAAGTTTTCAGCTTTAGGTTCTTCACATTGGTACAAACCTGACGAAGTGGTGTTTTAATCCACGAAAGCTCGTCGGTTGTATGATGATATTTTTAGTGGTCCGTAATGGTGTCACCTATTTTTGCATTAAAAACAAAGCAGTCATCCTAGTTTTAAGCGGTAGTGGCTATGGATGCAATGACGTGATAGTGAATCATCACCCTGCCCCCTGTACTGGCAATGCTCGTTTAAAAAGGGGACAATGATAAGCGAAATGCCATTCCCACAACTGCAAGAACTCGGTGGTGAGCGCCAGGAAATGTCTTGGCATTTTCACCAGCAAAGAGAAGAATAGGACATTCCTGTGCTTTGGCGTGCAAGAATGAAAGAAGCGAACATTTATAGTCAAATATAGTCGCTTAATTTGTTTCATTCACATGGTTCCCGTTTGCCCGGGCACAAAAGACTGGCCATCCTGAAGCTAAACCTCATTGTGAACCTGATCTTTACAGAAAAGTCGTCCTGACAGCTGTCTGTTGATCTGCCTATATCCTACATTGCCCTTCGACAGCACCACCAGCAGAACAAAATATCCCTTCCATTATTTATTTTGGATTCCCTTCCTATGGACTTCTGCCCACTTCCCTGTTTTAATCAAGATTTGACTTGTGTTTTTAATTCCTTGCCTACTAAATATTCCCAGTGCAACATAGCTCTCTTATCAGACAGAAATCTGATTAGCATACTCCCCTTTTCATCCACTAGCTCGGAAAGAAGAACCTTCAGGCGGTTTTGCAGACTGAGATGCCGTCCGCATGCTTTCCCCTTCCCCCCCCTTGGAAGCTTTATTGTTTTAGTATGCGCAGCACACACTACAGTGCCCATCATGCTTTTGCAGTGTGATATCCTCACAAGCAAACGAGGAGACATCTGACAGTCATAGTGAGGAACTTAGAAACTGACACCGGGAGCGACACTAGTGGCAGATGGGAGCTGGAGTCCAACATCAGCCTCAAGCAACCTGGGTCATTGTCGTCGAAACACATCTGGAGGCCACGAATTTCAGGAGGGCTGGCATATTGGATTTATTAAATCATTCTGGCTGCTATCACGCTTACCATACTTAATGGTAAGCCGATCCTGTGACCCCCCCCCTTTGCAGCAGTAGTGTATTAAAGCCATCATTCATATGGGTATCAGCAAAAAGAACTCATAATATTGCACCCCATAGTCCTCCTCCTCCTCCTCCTCCTGGCACTCATTAGAGGGAAATCCAGGGTTTCATTGTAATGCATAAATAAAGAATATGTAAAGGTGCCACCTTTTCAGCTGCAATTGATGGGGACACAGGAGAGGGCCTTCTCTGTAGCTGCTCCCAGAGACTCTGGAACTCCCTCCCACCGGAGGCCTGGCTGGCCCCGTCTTTGCTGTCCTTCTGAAAGCAGTCAAAGACCTTTCTCTTTAGGCAATCTTCCCCTTAATGACTGAATGGGGTACTTCAATGCAGAAGTCTCCAACCCCTGGTCCATGGCTGGTCCGTGGCCTGAGCCGGACCGGGCCGTGGAGACAGACCTCCCGCCCCTCCCCACACGCACTCACCCCCGCACAGCTGATGTGCGCTTGCGCGCACACTTGCAGGGGGTAACCCGCCTTCCCCAGCCGGTCTGTGGGGTGAAAAAGGTTGAGGACCCCTGTTTTAATGGATTGTTGTGCTTACTGCTTTGAATGTGTGTCTTTTTTGATGTTGCTTCTCTTTACTATCTTTTAATGTGGCATTTGTTTGATCTTTTTTAGTATTTGTGTACTTACTGCTTTTATATCCCAATATTGTTTTTTTAACGATATAAGCTGCCTTATGATATAAGCTTGCCACGAATTATGGCGTTAGCTCGTGCGGATTGCAATTACCTTCCTCAGTTACATGGGAAACTGCTTCAGATACTGTACATGTAATTAGGATGATGGCAGGGCAGGACTGTAGACAGTGAGATCTGTAGGGGATCAAGTGCAGAACTGTACAGACAGTGAAAATTACATTATGAATTACATTATATATACAGCCCTTCTTGTCCATAGCAGAAGAATCTGAGTAAGATGCAGAAGCATAGAGGGTGTTGAAAATCCATTATCCCTATCCAAAAGTCTGGTGTCAGACTGGAATCTTTTAATGGCAATTCACAGTCACCGTAACTCAGAAGAGAAATTGATAGCAAGTAGGGATGTATGCAGATATATGCTTTTTGAGTTCTTTTGCAGCTACCTGTTTTATTTGGGGTGGGGGTTCACCAACCCTTTCGGTTTTCACAAAAGGAAAGCCCCTTTTGAATTCCCTCATTTTGGATCTCACATTTGTGGAAGGAAAGTTCTGACACTCCAAAAGTCTTTAAAACCACATAGAAGCAAGGCAAACAGAGAATCAATCTACTCCAAAAGCAGGCGACAGGACAGGAAAAAGAATAATCAGCCTCATTTATCTACCGACCAATTCAGGTACTGGATTCACCAACCTCAGAAGGCTGGAAGGCCGCATTTTTCAAAATGCGCTGTCTCTTGCGTCAGCCGTGGTCAAGCTGTTCTTAATATGGAACTGACTGTATTGTACGTACTGGACATTTTCACCTTAAAACTGAGTGGCTGTTTGCTTTTTATTTCAAAGGGCACCCAAAATTCAGCGCCAACATGCTCAAACGGACAGTCTTCTCAATTTCTGTTTCTTTTACATTGATCCCCCCTCCCCAGTTTTTGATTTGCTCTCCGTCTGAGATTCAAATAAATTTACGTTTGAGTCAATTCTTATCAAAAAATGGCATCGAACGATATTGCGCCTCATTCTTACTTATTTCAACGACGTACCAGGTTTGCTTGGATATTGGAAAGCATTTGTCGATTTATTTGCAAAGTTCAAAAGAAGAATTCAGCATGGCCCTTAAGTGGTTGCATCGGGCTGATCTCCAGAGAAGAAATTAGGGATTTCTCATTTTGCTTTTCCCATGAGAAATGGTGGCATTTGTGTATATGCAAAAGGTGTGTGCCAAGTCTACGCAATGTGGTGCCGGCCTCAGGCGAATCTTTGCATCCTTCCTTTATGCCCTCAGTTCCCCTTTTCTCTGAAGTAATCCCCCAGTTTCTCCACGGCTTCCACGCACACGCTGGGGTACATGCCTTGGGAATACGTCCCGACCAGGATGAAGAGCCGCGTCTTCACCAAGATCACGGCGCTGTCTTTCCCTTTCAAATAGATGGATTGGTCGTCCGCTCGGACGCACCTGTAATGCTGGCCCTTAAAGTAGAGGCCGTCCCGTCGGACTTCGAGCAAGTTTTTGTTGAAGGCCTGGATGAAAACTGAAGCTTGGCTTTGGATGTTGAACCCGGGGGTGGTCGTCAGCACTGTCCCGTTTTCAATTTTGACGAGGGCGGCATTGGCCACATGCTTGGTTCTGGTGAGGCTGTCGATCAACAGACTTTGTGCTTGGTTCATCTCTCCTGGAAGCTGCTTGAAGCGTCTTCCTTCCTTCCTCGGCGACGTAAACAGCTCAACTGCCGGCGGCTTTGCTCAAAGAATCCTGGCGAAAGGGCCGTTGGTTGAAGGAGCTGCCAACACAGGCTCCTAGCAACACAGCAGACGAGGAGGAGGTGGCTTTCGCCCTGCCTGAAATTCGGCTTTTTTGTTCGTAAAACAATTGTGTGTTTTTTTTCTCTTATGGAGATACACAGGGAATTGTGGCAACGGGTGTTTTCTCCTGTCACTAGCAAGGAAAACTGGTTCCCCTCCCAAATGAATTAACTCTTTGCTGTTGACCCTTCTTCTCACACATTACTGTCACCATACCTGGCCTCTTCCTAATTTGCTTTGCTTCCCTTGAATGTCAGGAGTGACAAGTTGACAGGGGGACTAATAGTCTTTATTATCGGTTCTCCTGGAACTGGAAAGACCTCCACTTTCTTTGTTGTTGTTTAGTCGTGTCCGACTCTTTGTGACCCCATGGACCAGAGCACGCCAGGCCCTCTTTTCTTCCACTGCCTCCCGGAGTTGTGTCAAATTTATCTAGGTCATTTCGATGACAGTGTCCAACCATCTCGTCCTCTGTCGTCCCCTTCTCCTCTTGCCTTCACACTTTCCCAACATCAGGTTCTTTTCCAGGGAGTCTTCTCTTCTCATGAGAGGGCCAAAGTATTGGCCCCTTTCTAGATATGGGATTTAAGGTAACATCCCATTCGGGCTTTTGAATGTCTGTAAGGTTAGGCATTATACTTCAGTGGAAGACAGGAGGGCCTGGCGTGCTCTGGTCCATGGGGTCACGAAGAGTCGGACATAACTTAACAACGAAACAACAACAACAACAAAATGTTAGGTTTTGCTCTGATCAGTGGAGAAACGCTCTTGCGCTGTTCCTCTCACTTTTCTTGGTATCTTGGGTTAGCGCTATAGCGCTACAGGTGTCCTAACACTCAAGCAGTCTTAAAAAAAAGGTTGGTTCCAATTTGAGGTGCTCCCCCCCATTTTTCCAGCCATAAAGTGCCATTTATTCTATGTAGAGGTGTCTGTGGGTGCATGCCGGTCTGTAAGAGAGCCGGCGAGGCTTTCCTCCCTTGCCTTGCTAACTTTCTCCTGACCCAAAGGCAGTTGAGGAACCGATGAAACATGACGGCAAAGGAACCAGCAGGTCCAGAAGAATCTGGGGCCCACATCTGACTAGAGACGAATTACGGCAGGAAACGATGCCTCCTGACTGGCCACTTTGAACTCTCTTAAAAAGCACAGGCCAGCTTTGTCGTAATCCTGTTTTCTTTTAATGTTTCCTTTATGGGTCCTTAGGAGGACATCTACTCAACAGACCTTTTGCTGTCTCCCCCTCTTCTTCCATAAAAGCATTGACATCTTCAGGCAATCCCCGTCCACACACACACACACACACACCCTCCGCCTGCCGAAAAGCTACAAACAGCAAAAATGCCTGGGAAAGGTTCATTGAGCAACACCAGATCTCTTGCCCCAGTGGACCTGAAAATGCGTCGGGTTAACCGGCTCCCTGGCTGACGGATGGCCTTTGTCTGTATGGCTTCCAAAATGGGTCCAGGAGTTGTCTGTCTGTCCCTTTATCTCGGAGCAAGATCTGGTTTTCTGCGCTTGGGACAAATCGAGACTCTCTCCCTCTCTGCTAGAGAACAGTGGGACGGGGAAGAGACAATTATTAGAGAAGAAGAGAAGAGAGAATATATTAAGGAAGGTCAGATATCTGTATTGCTTTGTTTTTTTTATATATATATATTAAAAAGGGGAAATCCGTGGAAGCCGAAGCTCAAAACCTCTCCATCCTTACACGTTGCTTCTCGGTGTCTTGTCGAATTGGTGCCCCAAAAATGTGCAAGGATGGGGAGTGTCGTTGCATCACCCACCCCTGTTGTCATTTCCACTCCCCTCCCATGCATGGAGGGCAATGTTCTGCATGCAATGTCTTGTGTTATCTCTGAAATCTCCCCATGCTCTTGGGGAAGCCTTCCCCACAGAACATCCGCCTGGGGAAGGCCGCTAAAAATTGTGAAGTGAGCCGGTGGTGGTTCACGGCTGGTTTGTGAACTTCCCAAATGCCACTTTCCAAGTGCCAGCCTTTTCATTAATTTGGAAGCCAGGCAGTTTGTTCTTTGGTCAAAAGATTCTGTTGTGCAATATCTGAAGAATCCAGAATGTAGCTGCCAGCCAGTATGTACACAGGGCTTTAGTGTTCATTTGCATGCATTGAAACACATGTGCGTTAGGGAGGACATGCAATCATTCCCAGCTCCAAGTGCCGAGACCAAGACAGAACAAAACCAACGCAAAACCTAACACAAACCTTAAACTATGAAGGGAACACAGCTGCAGGTGGGAATCTGACCTGGACCCTCCCAGCCTATATTTTTCCATTTCACATTATTAGGTTACAGCCGGCTGGATAGTTCAGTGGTTTTAAATACCTGGCAGGAGAGCCAGAAGTTGCAAGTTCAATTCCGCCACTGTGGCTCCTGGGAGAAGAGCCAGCCTGGGTGGCCTTGGGCCAGCTGCAAAGTCATCACGGGGACCCCCCTAGAGGAAGGAAAAGGTAAAGCTTCTTCTGAGTGTTCTCTACCTGGAAAATCCCGAAAAAGTCAGAACTGACTCGACAGCACATCATTGTTATTTTATGAGTGGAGAGACATTTTTTGTTGGGAAATCATTGATCCATTCGAGAAGCCCAATCTGGACGAAGGCTCCACTTTTCGTTAAAATAACAATGATCTGCTCAAACATGTTTGCTTTTTTTGGGTTGGATTTGTTTGCTTGCTTTTTGGTTCTGGAGAAATCCTGGGAACTGTAGTCTAGTCGTGGGCAGCTGTAGTCCAGTGATGGATACACACAGAGCAACAGCCACAGGTGGCTCGTGCTCTGAGTAACGACCTAGACAGACTGCCATCATGCGATGTCCATGGGATTGGGCCTGGAGACAGCCTAGAACAATGGCGATGAACCTTTCTGAACCTGAGTGCCCAAACTGCAACACAAAATCAACTTATTGATTGCAATTAAAACCCAAATACTGAGGTCTTCGTTTAGGAAAAAAACTGCTCCTGCACTGCAAGGGTTAAATGCTTGTATTTTTTTCTTCTTCTTCCTATGGGCGGTATTACCAAAGAAATACTTACCAGTCCTCCAAACCCTCATTGGACTAAACTGGTCATGATCCCCATTGCAACCCCACCGCTGGACCACTGGACCAGCAGAGGGGAGTGCCAAAATCCAGGATCAGAAGACAGGCAAGTATTTCTCGACGGTGACTTATGGCTCGTGTACCCACAGAGAGGGCTCTGTGGGCCAGCTGTGGCAGGCATGCCAGAGGTTCACCATCATTGGCCTAGAGAGTTCAACTGATGTAGGATGCCGGGGGTGGGGTAGAATTATAACTGGTAAAGCCAGATGGAGTTACATGGAGCCAATTCTGAAAGAGCTGCACCTCCCAATTCAGACTGGTGGCACTGATCTTCACCACCCTAAATGACATGGCGTCTGGAAGATGGCCTTTTCCAGCTTGCCCGTAACCTAAGCCGGTTAAGGATGCTCCCTTCCGTTGACGAGGATTAAGTAATAATAATGTGCCATCAAGTCAATTCTGCCTTAAGGCAAGCTTTTCCAGGGTTTTCTAGGTGGAGAGGACTCCGAGAAGTGGTTTCCCATTGGCATCTTCCAGGGCTGGGCTGGGATGGCTGGGATAGCCCAAGGCTACACAGGCTGGCTGTTCCTCTAGGAGGCACCAAGGGGAACCGAACTCCCAACCCTTTTGGATCCACAGCCTAACCCAGCTGGTTGACTAGCACTGGCAGACCAAAAGTGCAGTAGCTTTTTTCCTTTTTCCATGAATGTTCCTGAACTTTGAGATTTTAACGTTTCTAAGGAGCAGGGTTAGGCTGCCAGATGTCAAGCAGCTATCTTCAGAGAGTTGTGTATTAGACGTCTTTAAAGTTGACTTCCTCCCTCGCCCTAAAAACACCCAAACGTTCTTGCTCCAGTCGATTCAGTTTCAAACGGATCTGCAGGTTCAGCTTGCGTTAGTCTGGAACCAAATGTGGCCCTTCCTTTCTGGTCTGGACTTCCCACCGATCGTTTCGGATCAGACCAATCTGGCTTATAATTTGGGCTCCAGCCTCCATCGTGAGCGGTCGGTTGGGCTATGGAGAAATAAACTTTTTTTAAAAAAAAAACATACTCTCAGTAGATCAAGATCTGATTCAAGAGCTGACATTCCAAAATCTCATATTTTAGAAAGCAGTGTGAAGATGTGATTCTGTAATATAAAAACACTTCGCTTTTACGGTGCCATGGAAATCTTTTCCAGCAGCACGGCAAGGAAAGAGTTTGCCTACAAAACTCAAGCATCTTCCCCTCGCAAGCCGTCAGAATTCATCTGCACCCACGGGGGTATATATTCTCTAATAACCATTCCTGGCTTTCCTTCGTGGCTTTAATACGAACCATACGCAATGAAACCCATTTGCAAACTGGAGATTGTCTACGGTATTTATCACTTTCCCCCTTCTTCCCTCCCTTGCTCTTCTGCAACGGATCAGGATCCAGGGTAAGGTTTTAGCTTTTGTTAGGGCCCTTGGCAGAAAACAACAGACCATAAAAGCCATTCCCCAGAACAGCTGCTAAGAGAAAGGCCTTTTTTTGATAATTTCCCTTCTCCCCGGCTCCCCAACCCACTAATCGCCCCCTTTTACTGACCTGAATGAAGGCAATTATACATCCTGGTTATTGTAAACGGACCACAAAACACCAGGCATACCTTACGATGATGTCATGTCTAGACGTGTCGTTCAGGTATAAATTATCGAGAAAAAGTAGCTTGTTCAGTGGTTAAAACTGTAAAAGTTTAACAAGATATTTTTGTGTCTCTCTTGCGCACTGTCTCCCATGCGCAGGCCTGTGTTTTGGGCTGAGAGAATTCTCCACTGCCTCTTGATTTAGGGGGAAGGGGGTGGGTGGGTTGGGCTGGGGAACTGGAAATCTCTCCCCGGTTTTCTTCCCTAAACTGTTTCATTTCCTATTAGTACTGTACCGT